TGGCCTGGCTCTCCAAGGCCTGCCCATCATCCGTGGCCGGTGGTTCCTATCAGCACCTTTGATCCTTGCTGCTTCACTCCATAAAGTATTCCTTCAAGTTAAACAATAATGGTATAAAAACATAATTATATTAATATATTAAAATGGGGAGGTATTGTTTAAGGGGTATTGAGTTTCCATTAAGGGTGATGAAAAATTTGGAAACAGATAGTGGTGATGGTTGCACAACATGGTGAACGTAATTAATGTCACTGAATTGTACATGTAAAAATGGTTGAAATGGCAAATGTTTTGTAATATATATTTTACCACAATAAAAAATTTCAGAAAAGAAAATACAGATAATATTCATATTTTTAAAATGTAATTATAATGTTGTCGAAACACTGCCCAGTCCTGTGCCATCCTCACAATCATTGTTATGCTTGAGCCCATTGTTGCAGCCACTATGTCAGTCCATCTCGTTTAGGGTCTTCCTCGTTTTTGATGACCTTCTACTTTACCAAGCACAATGTCCTTCTCCAGGGACTGATCCTCCTGAATAACATGTCCAAAGTATGTGAAACATACTCTCACCATCCTTGCTTCTAAGGAACATTCTGTTTGTACTTCTTCCAAGATAGATTTGTTTGTTCTTTTGGCAGTCCACAGTATATTCAATATTCTTCACCAACACCACAATTCAAAGGCATCAGTTCTTTGGTCTTCTTTATTCATTGTCCAGCTTTCACATGCATATGAGGCAATTGAAAACATTATGACTTGGGTCAGGTGCACCTTAGTCTTTAAGGTGACCTCTTTGCTTTTTAACACTTTAAAGAGGTCTTTTGCAGAAGATTTGCCCAATGCAGTGCATCCTTTGATTTCTTGACTGCTGCTTCTGTGGATGTTGACTGTGGATCCAAGTAAAATGAAGTCCTTGACAACTTCATTCTTTTCTCCATTTATCATGATGTTGCTTATTGGTCCAGCTGTGAGGATTTGTTTTTTTTATGTTGAGGTGTAATCCATACTGAAGGCTGTGTCTCTTGCTCTTCATCAGTAAGTGCTTCAAGTCGTCTTCGCTTTCAGCAAGCAGGGTTGTGTCATCTGCATATCACAGGTTGTTAATGAGTCTTCTTCCAAACCTGATGCCCCGTTCTTCTTCATATAGTTCAGCTTCTCAGATTATTTGCTCAGCATACAGATTGAATAAGTATGGTGAAAGGATGCAATCCTGACACACACCTTTCCTGACTTTAAGCCATGCAGTATCCCTTTGTTCTGTTGAAGTGATTGCCTCTTAATCTATGTACAGGTTCTTCAAGTGTTCTGGAATTCCTGTTCTTCGCACTGCTATCCATAATTTGTTATGATCCACACAGCCGAATGCTTTTGCATAGCATAATCAATAAAACACAGGTAAACATCTTCCTGGTAGTCTCTGCTTTCCGCCAGGATCCATCTGACATCAGCAATGATATCCCTGGTTCCACGTCCTCTTCTGAATCCGTCTTGAATTTCTGGCAGTTCCCTGTCGACATACTGCTGTAGCCGCTTTTGAATGATCTTCAGCAAAATTTTTCTTGCCTGTGATGTTAATCATATTGTTTAATAATTTCCACATTCTGTTGGATCACTTTTCTTTGGAACAGGCACACATATGAATCTCTTCCAGTTGATTGGTCAGGTAGCTGTCTTCTAAATTTCTTGGCATAGATGAGTGAGGGCTTCCAGTTGGTTGAAACTTCTCAACTAGTATTCCGTCAGTTCCTGGAGCCTTGTTTTTTGCCTTCAGTGCAGCTAGGACCTCTTCTTTCAGTACCATCCATTCCTGATCATATGCTACCTCCCAAAATGGTCAAACGTTGACCAATTCTTTTTGGTAAAGTGACTCTGTGTATTCCTTCCATCTTCTTCTGTTGCTTCCTGCGTTGTTTAATATTTTCCCTGTAGAATCCTTCAATATTGCAACTCAAGGCTTGAATTTTTTCTTCACTTCTTTCAGCTTGAGAAATGCGGAGCATGTTCTCCCCTTTTGGTTTTCTAATTTCAAGTCTTTGCACATGTCATTATAATACTTTACTTTGTCTTCTTGAGCCGGCCTTTGAAATCTTCTGTTCAGCTCTTTTACTTCATCATTTCTTCCTTTTGCTTTAGCTATTCTACGTTCAAGAGCAAGTTTCAGAGTCTCTTCTGGCATCCATTTTGGTCTTTCCTTTCTTTTAAATGACCTCTTGCTTTCTTCGTGTATGATGTCCTTGATGTCATTCCACAACTCGTCTAGTCTTTGATCATTAGTGTTCGACGCATCAAATCTATTCTTGTGATGGCTTCTAAATTCAGGTGGGATATGCTCAAGGTGGTACTTTGAGTCTTGTGGACTTGTTCTAATTTCCTTCAACTTCAACTTGTACTTACATAGGAGCAATTGATGGTCTGTTCCGCAGTCGGCCCCTGGCCTTGTTCTGACTGATGTTATTGAGCTTTTCCGTCGTCTCTTTCCACAGATTAGTTGATTTGATTCCTACATATTACATCTGGCGAGGTCCATATGTATAGTTGCCGTTTATGTTGTTGAAAAAGGTATTTGCAGTGAATAAGTCGTGGATCTTGCAAAATTCTACCATTCGATCTCCGGCATTGTCACCAAGGCCATATTTTCCAACTACCGATCCTTCTTTGTTTCTAACTTTCGCATTCCAATCACCAGTAATTATCAATGTATTCCAATTGCATGTTTGATTGATTTCAGACTGCAGAAGTTGGTAAAAATCTGAATTTCTTCATCTTTGGCCTTAGTGTTTGGTGTGTAAATTTAAATAATAGTCATATTAACTGGTCTTCCTTATAGGTGTGTGGATATTATCTCATCACTGACAGCGTTGTACTTCAGGATAGATCTTGAAATGTTCTTTTTGGCAATGAATGCAGTGCCATTCCTCTTCAAGTTGTTGTTCCTGGCGTAGTAGGCCATATGATTGTCTGATTCAAAATGGCCAATACCAGTCCATTTTAGCTCACTAATGCCTAGGATATTGATGTTTATGCATTCTATTTCATTTTTGATGATTTCCAGTTTTCCTAGGTTCATACTTCATACATTCCACCTTCCTATTATTAATGGGTGTTTGCAGCTGTTTCTTCTCATTTTGAGTCGTGCCACATCAGCAAATGAAGGTCCCGAAAGCTTGAATCCATCCACGTAATTAAGGTCAACTCTACTTTGAGGAGGCAGCTCTTCCACAGTTGTCTTTTGAGTGCCTTCCAACCCGAGGGGCTCATCCTCCAGCACTATATC